AAAAAAAAAAAAACAAATTAATAATAACTTACGGAATATTTGTAGGGATTGCATATGCTTTATTCTAACGACAAGAGACACTTGATTTCATCATTGGACGCAATTTTTGTGATTATAAATTAAGACATGTAAAAGTGAAAACTACGTTTATGATTAGCAAATTGTCAATTAATTTGTTATAACATTTATTGGAGAATGCCACCATCTCCTTACGGGATGGTTCCGTTGTTTTTTTTAAGCGTAGATTATCTACGCATTACTAGATTACATGTATATCTACGATTACAAATACAACGGAATGATTTCGTAACGGGATGGTAGCATTTCCCAACACTATTATAGGAAGATAATTTATAAACATGATGATTTAGAAGGATATAACACAAAAAAATGTCTAAAATTCTATAATTGAACCAGCAAAAAAAAAATGTCTATTTTGCCGGTTACGTCAAACTTACCAAATGCAATATCCATAAAAAAAAAAAAATCAAGTTTACAACCCATGAAAAACTAAAATACCTTTTTTTAGGTGTACATTTATCCATATTAAAAAAAAAAAAAGAAAAAAAAAATCATAATCAAGCTCGTTTAGCTGTTTCAACTCGACTCGTTTAAGTAATCAAACGAATCGAGTTCAAACTTTCACGAATTGTGTTTGTTGATATATCGGAATAAAAGTTATAGCGATTATGCCCATTACTATATAGAAAATAGAAACCTATTCTCATTTTTTCTCTCTCAACTCTCAAGTCCCTTTACAAAACCCATCGTCTCACCAAAACTTTTGTTATTCCGCGCTCCATACATATATTATTCTCATATTTTCATCTTCATTAACCCAATTAAAATTAAAAAAAAAAAAACATATTTCTCTCTTAAAAAGAAAAAAAATGGCTCATAAACAATTGCTGCATGAGCTCCTCAGAGTAGATCAGGAGCCTTTCCACCTGAAGACCTTCATCTCCGACCGCCGATCCCTGCTCAAAATGCCCTCACCGGCGCCGCCGCCGCCGGCAACCTCCCCAGATAAAATCCGAAAATCCGTCCAAATCCTATACAAAAGCGAAAAATCGCCGCCCCGAAATTTCCGGTCGCCGGCGGCGGAAGCCCTCCTCCGCGTCCCGCCGGATACGGCTGAGCTCCTGGCGGAGGCCGCCGCGAGGATCCAGAAGCGGCGGAAATCGATGTGGCCGCAGAGCAAGGTCCGGATTACTTCTTCCGGGTCGGGCCTGTTCGGGTCGGTTCTGAAGATGCTGAAGGACCGGAGCAAAGGAAAAAGTCGTGCCGTCGGAGAACACAATTTCAATATTTCCGGCGAAAATGAAAGAGTGGACGGAATTAAAATTGATAAGAAAACGAAGACAATCATTGGCGATTTTGGGTCGCCGGTAAAGCGATTCATTCCGTGTCCACTGAGCCCTTCTAGATTTTCCGTACCCGAGAGCCCGTCTTCCTCCGGCCGCCGCACGCCGGCTCTCGGCTCGCCGGAGGCGGCCTCCCCCAGCCGCGGCGTGAAGCTGCAGGTTAGTCGCAGTAATTTCGGTTGTTTCGAGTATAACTAAATATCAATGTTTTATTTTATAATTATAATATTAAATATCAATGTTTTATTTTATAATTATAATATATTAAATATTATAATTTTATTTAAATGAATATGTATATTTATTATAATATGAAATGGGAAAAAAAGAAGAAGTTATGTGATGTGATCTCAAAAGCTATATATCTACTTTAGGACTCCTATGTTTCAATTGTCAAAAAGCTTAAGCTTTTTTTTTTTTACCCAAAATTTCATTATTGTTTTATGTGGACATTCAATACGCGAGTCCCGGGTCGATCTCTTGGGCAGGTCCGAGTTGAAAAACACTGATTATACCTTTTATTTTGTATTTTCTTTTTTCATTTTATATTCCTTAAAATTGTGTAATTAACCACGAAAAAACTGTTTTTAATTTTAATTTTAATTAGTGTTGTACACCCAATATAATTTCTTCCACAAGAGGGACAAAAATAGGACTTTGTTATTTTCCTCCTTGGATTCTAATGGGTAATTAATTTCCCACATTTTAGTAGCATTTTTTGATTATTATTATTATTATTATTATTATTATTATTTATTTTTTTTTTTTGATTTTAACCAAAGTGT